CTACCCCCCCCCGGGAAGACAGTGCTCCCCCAGCCTCACCAGAGGGCGCTAGCCCCCCACCACCTAGCCCATTAGACCCACCCAGGACTTGCCTCTCAGAACCTGGCATTCCCTGCGCCGGAGAAGAGGCTCTGCGCACAGAAACGCGCTCATTAGTTATGAAGGCGGCGGCGGAGGGGAGGTTTAGACCGCGTTCCTCGTGGTGGGGACACATTAACAGACAAAATGAGGGAAGCATCACTAGTCTAAGAAGTCAGTCTCCTTACCAAAAGGATTTGCAAGAATATTTGTGGCCCAGGACCTAAGGAACTTGCTACAGGGAAGTGAGGTCAGAGGTCAGCTCAATCCTGAAATATAAAGGCAGCAACCGGGTCACACCAGAGGCAGCAGCATCGCAGGGAGGACTGGGGGCTTCCGGGACTGCCTTCCCCTGCAGGGCCTTCCTCTGCTGGGCTTATTACACCGCAGCCCCTCCGCCCCCAGGCGAAGCGCCTCCGGGCCAGGTGTGGGAGAACCGGGTCGCTCCACACAGGGACACGGGGTTCCGGTGGGCTGAGTGGCCTCTGACTTTTGAGGGATACTGGGCGGCTTGGCGAGCGTCATGGAAGGGTTGGCTGGGCTCTGCATTCCAGAATCATAAGCCCTCTGTTCCGCTCTGGGTGCTGGGGAGTGGGGGTGGTCGCCCAAGCCCCTCTGGACTGCTAGGTCCATTTAGACTTCTGCTTGAACCAAGGGAGGCCGCCGGCCGCCTGTGCGCATGCGCGGGGACCGCTGGGCTCCGGGTCAGACCCGCTCTCTCCTGTGGCCTTCCCTAGAAGGCTCAACGGCTGCTTCCCGAGCTGGAGGGATGGAGTGGAGAGGAATGCGGAGGGACGCGGCTGGGGTGGGGGGACAGCCCAATTATAAAAGTAAGCAGCTGCAAAGCTGCAGTGGCCTCAGAGCTCCGTGGAGCAGAACAGATAAAAAATGACCTCGGGCGCTGGGCTGGGAGGGCGACCCAGGCGGCTGCCAAACGGATGAGCATGAAGAATCCCGCTCTGCCGTGAAGTGACAGATTGGTTTTGTCAGGCACTCTGTGTGCAAGTGAACAGCCAGATCCGCTCCAGGCTCTCCCCTGGCCTCTTGCTTTTTACTTTTCAGTCAGGGGATCGGTGGGGGGTGGGATTGCAAGGACTGGGCTGGGCCCCCTCCCCCCACAGGGGACTGTCTCTGGGGAAATTGAGCCTGGCTGAATATTGCCAGGACAGGAAAGAACCCCTAAAATGAAAATGGAGAATGGTCGGGGGGGTGTAGCTTGCAGGAGGTGGGCCTCCTCTCCTGGCTCCTGAATGAAGGGCCAGGTGAGACAGTCAGGGCCCCCCCGGGAGAGTCTAGCAGGAAGTGAGGCCGCCTACCTCTGCTCCTCCTCCAGCTCCTCTCTGGTCATCATCTTCTTGTACTGGTTTCCCCGCAGCTTCCCAGGGCTGTACTTGAAGGAGAAGGCCTCTCCTGCACAGAGGGGACAGAGAGGGGACAGAGTAAGAGCCCGCAGGGTCCACAAGTTCAGAGTCCCCTTTCCCTTTGTTAGTTTCAAAGAACCATCTCAGCCAGAGAGGGCGCCTCCCTTTCAAAGAGGGGCAGAGCCCCCCGCCCCCCCACCTACCTAGTGCCAGCTCAGGGGCTGCCCAGACTCAGGAGGGACTGGACTCTCACATTCTCTTCTCACCTTGCACCTGACAGGTCCTTCTTCCACACCCTTCCCATGAACTTGTACAGCAACTTAGGAACTGTTTTAGGAACTCCAAATGTGGCTACACAGACCAAGTGAGAAGCCAGAGGGAAGCTAGCACCATCTCCTACAATACGGCTCCGTCCAGCACTCGGTTCCCTCCCAGGACCAGGCTAAGGCATCCACAGAGCTAGCTGGCTGCCCCTCTCACCAAGCCACTGTCTGCAAGGCCATTATCCCCTCATCGGAAGCCCCCCTCCCGCCTCTCCCCCATTGCTGCGGTACTACTGGGTTGTCAGAAAAGTCATGACATATTTTTTCTGTTTCTCGTTGCAAAAATGCGTCGTGACTTTTCCGACAACCCAATAATTACAGTCAGTTGGAGGGAGCTGATTTCTGGAAAGCAAGCTGTGCCAAGCGCTGGGTTCCTTGCCTCTCCTTGGGTCCCAGGCCTGGAGGGCAGCACAGGGACCCCTGACCTTCCTGCTGAGGACTAGAGGCCCATGCCCTGCTGTCCAGGGGTGTCGTGCCAGCCAGGCTCATTCTCTCCATGCCACAGCTGCCCCCCAGTGAACAAAAGGGCAGCTCTTGAAGCCTGAGGAGGGCACACCAGGGGATTTGGACAGAGGAAAGCAGGGACATGTGACATGGAGCGAAGGCAGCTGCTAGGTACGCAGGCCAGAGGGAGGGGGCACACACAGGCGAGAGCCCGGGAGCATACCCTGGGCTGAATGTCCAGGCGGAGAGTGTCCCTTGGGCAATGCCCGTAAGTGGTCCTTCAGCCTAGCAGGTATGGGGTACATGGCCTCTGGCCAACCTGGGGACAGAGGCTGAATGGCTTGTCTTATCTAATTTCCATTAACACATAAAGAATTAAGGGCAACAGCAGAGACCAGCAAATCACCCTCCCACAGGGATGTACTGTCTTTCAGTTCTGTTCTAGAGGGTTCACCTCTCTCTCACTCCAATGTCAGGAATCTCAAACACCTCCACATCCTGCCTGCCCCCTGGCTGAGCTCTGCAAAGGGCCGGAAAGCACCATCCCTTGTGGGCCCATGGGGTCAGGAGCTTGTAGCAGCATGGCTCGCGTCTGGGGGTCTAGGAACTCCGCTGAGTAACTCGGGGCTGCTGTTTGAGGGGCCTGGGTCTTTGGTTACCAGGAAAGCCCAGAGAAGCCTGCCACGGGGGCAGGATCACATGGAGCTGCACTCAGAGTGAGCTCGCCACCCATGCTTTGCTTCTGGACCTCAAAAAGAGGCCACAGGAAACCAGTTAACCTCATCAAGGTCCTTGCTGTGTCTTAGACAAATAATACAAAAAAATGCTGCCAGCTGGGTACTACTCAAGGTTTCAATTTATGGGGCAGCTCTAATTAGTTTTACGTTTTCTGAGCCAGAGAAACTTGAAAAGGCTTTCACATAAACACAAGCATGTACCAAGTGATACAGAGCTGCTTGCAATTTTGCCGGGAAGGTTCTTGTGACAGCCCCCCGGGGAGGGGGGACTTCCTCCTGCAGTCTTATGTGAATCCACTGAGTCACTTAGGGAAGGCATTTTAGCGACCGACCGGAATCAATTAGCCTGGGGCTGAGCTGCTCACAGCAGACAGACTTGGAGCCCACTCCTGCTTTTCTTTGACAGCTGGGCCATAAACCTCCCCTCCCTCTGGCTTGTCAGGGCTGGCAGGAGGTGGCTGGGGGATGGGGGGG